AAATATGATGGTTTAAAATCTCTACCATAATAAATAAGTTATTTATCGAGTGGCTTTCAATGTTATTTAAAATAACATTGAAAGCCACTCGACCAAGTGGAAATAATATGACGTAAAGAATACAGAGGATAATTTTGTTTACATATTTATGAAAATAAAATAAATTAAATTTATGTTATGTTATATACAATGTTTAGGCCAGCACAGAAGGCCTTGCTGGCCCTGACGGAATGCCACTGATAACGAGACACCGGACAACAGAGTGTTCGTTATGTGCCGCTGTATTCAAAACTCCCGGCCGTACAAACAAGCGCACGCACTTCCCCCGTGCTGCTGGGGCAAACCTTTCTGAAAGAGGGGGGGTTTCACTCCCCCTAACACATACTTTTTAATTTTTTTTTTGCCTTTTCTTAACATAGAAACAATGCATGTACACGTAATGCCTTGTCGACATGACTACAGCTGTTTGTCCTGCCTCTCTGACGGACCTGCGCCGATGGATTGAATCTTGACGGAAGCATGTAACGATTGGGCAAGTTCTGGTCGCAGACAGAGATGTAGTGTGACATCTGACCCAGTCCAAGACATGGAACGATATTTATCTTGTAGTTTGACAGCACGACCATTGTGAAAAAGCAAAAAGTAGTGTTCTCTGCCAGGAGAAAGATTGATTTGATGGGCAAAAGCTTTCACCTACCATTCTTGTGCCACACAGCTGCCACTAGGTGACAGAGCAAAAACAAAGGAAAGTGTATCAGAATACATAGTTATCAAACAAAACAGATGTACACTGCCAAACTAAAACAGTAAACGAAAATAAATAAATAAAGTGGGTGAACACAAATATCACGTTGTACTACTTTAGGAACTAATTACCAAACAAAACCCCCATAATTATTCATAACTATTTACAAAAACAAAAAGAGCACCCCCAAGGCGTTTGGCGGTGCTCCTTTAAAAGTCTTGAATAGTTGTTTGCATTTTGAACCTCATCAAAACACAAAGAATAAAACTAGGAATGACAGATTTTTAAATTTATTTTAGCTGATAATTGAATGGCGGAGACTGTTCCGAAGAGCTTTGTTGGGCTGCTTACGTCAGTGGGTTGTCGGTATGTTGAGGCGAGAAGCCGCACCAGCTAGCTATAGCAACAAGCTTCAACTGGGTACAGTACTTCCACACGTACACACGTTGTTGTTGCGCTCCAAAATCAGTAACCCCGCGCCTCCATGGCTGCAAATAAAATACACTTCTTCCAAGTATCGTTCTCACGAAGGGATTACAAGGAGTAATGTAGGGGGAAATTGGGACCATGCTAATTGCGATTAAGTAGTTTCACATAAATCTCGCTGGAACCATGTCTAAGCGGAGCATATCCATCTTTGAATAGCAAAATGGCAGGCAATTTAATAAGTGGTGAGAAAATTGATACCAAATAATGCCTACACACAAGTTTAACGGGTTATGTTACGGCGTCTCGTACGTCAACCTGTAGGAGTGGCCTAGAAGATTACTGTAAAAGTATATTAATTAAGGAAAAGCGATTCAGAAAATGAATGGATATTGAATACATATAATATTACTCGTGTGATTTGTTTTCACGATAAAGTCCTGAGTTTTGATTTTGACTTTTGAGATCTGCACAAATGTTCTCAAAATGACATTACAGTAGACCGTATCTTTTTATTTATTAAACTGTATTTGTGTAAATTGATGGGTTCGTCGATTTGGAATGAATGGCTCTACGTCAAGAATGGGCAAAAAGGAAAGATGGACTTCGTTTGAACGCAGCTTTTATTATTTGTAATCAATTGCTGTCAAACATTTTTATGCCTCTTATTTAGATCGAGATCTATGCGTGCAAAAATATGTATGCTACTGTGCTTCTGTTTGCGGGTGATAATTTTATATAGCAGGACTTACTGGATACATTTCTCATTTGACACAAGTCGCTGTCTTTTCAAAATAAACCAAGAAATGGTAAGCAGTCACAGTGTGTCCTGTATTATATGTTTGTTTGTTTTTTTTAAGAGCAATTGAAAATGCATTGTGACAAATCGTTCAGACATAGACGATTGTTTTCCCTGATCGTCCAGGACACGAAAACCTGCCAGACAGATGCATCATTGCCTTCCAGAATTGTGTAAATCTCTCCTAAAGCCACCTGAAACAATTTGCGAACATAGTAATGCCTATTCGCAGATCGCAACGTGTGCTGTCATTTGATGGGACATGGTTATGAGAGATGATCCTAAATTATCTTTGACGAGAAGGTGATTCCACGTAATTTTTGGTTTTGTCACAGCACCAAGGCTCCATTCGTGGATGAAAAAACAGCTTTAGTTGTAAGGATGCTGCTGCAGAAGGTGGGCATTAAAACGCATAGGCAAAGATGAGCTAGGCAACTCACGTAGTGTTTCGATGGACTGCGCCTTTTCTCCACGTCCACCACTTTGACGTCCAGCACAGTCCGAACCTGCATCTTGACCCTGCAAAAGCTATACATAAACGCGCCTGGCAGACAGCTGCTGCAGCTCGAATCACGCCGAATAAATCCCCGCATTCATCGCCGATTCCCAGACAGCTCCGAGTAAGCCGTCAGCTCCTCGCCGGCCAGTTTGGTAGTCCTCTGCCTTCGCCCAACCACCATCAATCCGATTAGAAACTTATCGACTGTCCGTTTAAAACAAAGCTCTGCGCCAAGCGTCGTTGACATACGCCGTCAGGGGAACGTTGACTCCTCCGCTGCCCACAAAGCACGCCGGGAGAAGGCGGCAATCACTTGAAATTCGGGTGAAATTGAAGAGAGTCCCTTTGTGTCTATCTCGGCGGCCACGAGATCCTCTGCATACCTGGACGTCACAGTCTGGTTGGATGAAAGATAGCTGGTGAGTCCAGCAGCGCCAAACGCCTCCCGTATTCCAGTTGCCGCATGGATTTCAGGGAAAGAGTGGGACGTGCTTCTCATACGTCCACGAGGCTCCTTGGAATAAAATCCTCCTGAAGAGGAACCATTTCACAACGTATCGCCCGGTTGGTAAACAATGCAAGAACCGACTGGGTCTCTAAAACAACTTTTCTTCCAGGCTTAATGGGAGATTGTTACGTCGAAATAAGACGAGGGAGGTCCTCAAACACGGTGCTGATTCATTGAGTTGTTAACAAGGCCGCGTCGGATCGGTTCAGCTGAACACTGCAGGCACCGACTGAGTCATGGGCTGCTTTCTGGCCGGAGACATGAGCAGCTGCAAGTGTGGCTACAGATGTTCCACCCGCGACCAATCCGATGCAAGCATTTTCAACTTGAACGCGCCCACTCAATGACTTAATGCTGCCCCCTGTATACTTTGATACGCATGCACACGTTTGTGAGCGTTCATTTGACGATAATAAAACTCAGAACATTAGACGGCAATGCAGGAACAAGAGTGCCAATAGTAATAGTTGATGAAGTATAAGTGATATACTGTATCATCATTCAGGCAGTCGTTCGCTTGAGCATCATGAATTGTTATTCTGTCACCTCAAACTCAGTGGGCAGGTACTAGGCGGCACTAACACACACACACGCACGCACACACACACACACACACACACACACACACACACACACACACACACACACACACACACACACACGATCTACATATATTCTGGGGAGTGAGAGAGAGATTTCGCTTTCAGCCTTTGCAGATTGTTATCAATTATCAAATATTTATGTATTTAAAAAGCAATCTCTGAATTTACTAGATAGTGCCTTTGAAATGTACAGTAATTGCCACAAAAATATACATTATGCAGTATGGTCATGAAAAATGATGCAATACATGTTGTATTACTTAATATGCATGCGGGTGGCCCAGTGGGCGACTGGTTCGCACATCGGCCTCACACTGCAGGAGTGCAGGGTTCAATTCCGGCGCCGGCCTTCCTGTGTGGAGTTTGCATGTTCTCCCCGTGCCTGCTTGGGTTTTCTCCAGGTACTCCAGTTTCCTCCCACATTCCAAAAAACATGCGTGGCAGGTTCATGGAACACTCTGAATTGTCCCTAGGCGTGAGTGTGAGTATGGATGGTTGTTCGTCTATGTGTGCCCTGCGATTGGCTGGTAACCATTTCAGGGTGTACCCCGCTGACTGCCCAAAGACAACTGGGATAGGCTCCAGCACGCCCCGTGACCCTTGTGAGGATAAGCGAATCAGAAAATGGATGGCTGGTTGGCTGGATAATATGTATTTTGCAACTTTGGAATAAAAAGCTACAACATGGCTTAATGAATCTTTATATTTTTTTTTATTTAAAGAATTAAGAAACAGAGTCAGTTTGATCACTAACCCCAGCCTAAATAATAAAATAAGTAAAATAGTTATCTCTAGTGCTGATAATGTCACTGTTGCACTCCAGTGATTTGAGAACCAGCTCAAGCACTGCTTTGCTCACATTCATGCTGTGGCGCTGTCTGACTGAAGACAGGATGTGCAAGATGTGGCAACCCTTCTCCTGATCTGAAGAGACAAGGAAACTGCCGTAAGAACATAGGTAACGTGGTGTTCAATCTGCAGGAGGTGGTAACGTTTTATATATATATTATTTAGATCAGTGTCAAAATCACATTTTGGGATGCATCAATTGTACTCAAGCCTTTTTTCTTCATATATTTGTTATACGAATATCAAATTTTGTCCTTGTATCAAATTACATTTTATAAGTAAAATAAAATTTGTGGTGCATCCTGCATATATATATATATATATATAAATAATATATATATATATATAAATAAAAAATGGAGTCACGTACACTTCTCTCTTTTTGAGTCCTCTCTGATTATGTCTTTGACTGCCATAAGTAGATCTTTATCCTGTGCAGTCACCTAGCAAGGAACACAAAAGTCAAAATGATCCACCATGATACTTCAGACTGACCTTGAGTTAATGGAAGTCATCTCTTCTGTTTCCTACAAAATAGACTTCATCCTGGGATTTAACCTTGCGGTACACAACGCCCTCATCCTGTAAAAGTTGCAAGGCCTCTTTAAGGAGCACATGTAGTTGCTGACATGTAGACGATCCCGCCACAGGCTCCTAAAACAGCAGCACAGAATTATAATACTCAATAATTCTCAGTAATGTTCTTTATCAACATCCAATGAATGTGGCAGTGGCACGCACCTGGCCTGCAGGTGCTACTTCAGGACAGCTCGGGAAGAGAGGCTGCAGGATGTCCTGAATATCATATGGTCTGAACTTGCTCACAGCCTTCTGCTCTAAGAAATCTTTGATGATTTGCGTTGCCTTACTGAGGGAAGTGATGGGAGACTCACTGAAAACCAGATGGGGGAAAAAATGGAGCTGAAAACACTTAGAATTGCTTTTAGATTCCTTCCGATAAGGACTATAGTCCTTTATTTGGGTAATGAGGAGGGAGAAATGGGCTAAAACTCTTCAGATGCCTGTCATTCTGGCACAAACAAATGATCACGCTTTTCATTTAGAAAATGGTTTATTTCCTCCAGTAACTGTGATTCCAAATCTTGGTAGTTTTTTTTCCAAATTTTCCCCGACTCAAACACAACGCAAGACAGCATCCAACTCGGTCAAGAAATGAGATGCTTCTGCAGATTCACAGAACTGTCACTCATGACGGTACTTATTTAACCCTTTTGGGGCTTATGCGCCACCCTGTGTTCGAACCATGGAATGACATTTAAAAAGGGAGGAAAAAAAACCCAGAAATACTTTATGGAATATGGCTTCAACATGACAGCTTTCGCCAGAGACTGTATGCTTCAACATGTATGTGTAAGTGTGGCGTTCTTTTGGGACAGCATCTTTACCTTGCAGATATGTTTTGTAGGTGGAGTGGTTTGTCATAGAACTCTCTGTACAGCTGTAAGACATCACTCATCCATTCAATCTGGACTGCCATCACTGGGTCATTCACTTTATCTGGGGAAACACACAGCACAAAAGTGATGGCCACAAGATGGAGATTGTGTGGATCCTCTGTAGTGGGAATTTGACATTTAACAGTGCTAACTTGTATCTTATGTGAACGTGTATCATTGTGTCACCTGATCATGCTCTCTCTGTTGCTATGCAAAGTTGGTTGCTGTGCAAGATTGTGCGTCAAACTTCATCCTACTGTCTATAAGTGTTGCTATGCAAAGTTCGTTGCTATGCTAGGTTGTCATTTTCCTGTAAGTCAGGCTTTAACCACTCCCAAGAAGAAGAAAATGGTATAAGAGGGGCGTAACCCACTGCTTGGGGAGCCGCTCCATCACAGATCTGTAAATGGTGTTTCTCCATCAATTGTAGCCAAAATAAATCTCATTGTTGAAAAAGACTTGTTGTCTTGGTTTCCCTGGACAAGGCTCCCGTGTCTCTGTGGTCGGCTATAAACGCATGAGAAAAAGTCATGTGAATAAAGTACCTGTGGTGAGAGAGCACGACACAAAATTTTTATGCACTTCAATTATGTGAGCATATGATTTTGGCCATAACAGCATCTTGGGAGTATCATTACGAGCTGCAGTACCAGGCAAAAGTAAGAACACTCTTCTTTAGCATATTGAATCAATGTGAAAATGTCTAAACTGGCATCAGTGTATAGCAGGTTATTTGTGATGAGTTAGTCATTTCCTCACATGAATGTGCACTCATTATCATGACTGGAGTGAAATGTGTTACATCGGAATAGATTAAATATATTTAGAATGTACACACAAAATTGTTGGTACCCCTCTTTTAATGAAAGAAAAATCCACAGCGGTCACACAAGTAACTTCAAACAACAAAAGTCATAATAAAGAAACATTGAAATAAAATTAACCAATAAAAATATGACATCTTTTGAATTGTAGATCATGAAAATTATTTTTTAATCAATAAACTCATGAAACAGGCTTGGTTATTCAGAGTGCCCCAAAAAAGGGAGACGAATGCAGCCAGTGCTAGATCAGAAAATGGAGCTGACCGTGTTTCGCCTCCGACAGCAAGTGTAGATGACGATCCGCTGAATAAGTATGTCATAGTTTTTCTTTTCATATTAAAATGGCTTACCTACCAGAGTCCTGCACCGCATTGTGGCCAAAGGTGCAATCCTGGTGGATTAACTACCTTGTCCATCCTTGTAGAAACTGAAACCAAGTCGACATGACTATTTCAGTACTTCTTGCGGGAGTTGCTTCTTCTTAGTCGTCTTCTTTGGTAGTCCCGGCAACTTGGTTTCATTTCCACAAGGATTTAGAAGATGCATTTATCCACAAAGATTGTACCTTTGGCTATAATGCGGCACAGGATTCTGGTTACCGTATTTTCCGCACTGGATTATTAGGCGCACCTTCAATGAATGGTCCATTTTGTAATTTCTTTCATATATTAAACGCACCACATTATAAGGTGCAATCTAAAATGCATCCACTAGATAGAGCCACAGCCCTTCATTTGACTCGAGAGGCGTTCATGACTGCCTCCTAAAAGCGTAAATTAACGATTACTTCAATTAAACTACGAAAATCGAAAAACAGTAATGCATCAAAACAGAAACTCAAGCGAGGAAAACATAAAATAACTTCTATAGCCCCCCTACAGAATTTATTTTGGCATTTCCTTGAGCATAGCTCCAACAGAAAGATCAGATGTTAGTAAAATGTAGGAGACTGGACTGTCTCAGAAGTGTTTGTTATTTATTCCTTTGTTTTGTACTGTATTCACAAACAAGGAAATCACAAAATAAATTATGTAGGGGGGCTAGAGAATTTATTTTGTGATTTCCTCGCTTGATTTTCTGTTTTGATGCATTATTTTCAGTTTTCATAGTTTCATTGAAGGAATCGTTAATTTACGTTTTTCCGAGGCAGTCATGAACGCCTTTCGAGTCGAAGGAAGAAGAGAAGGCATGGAGACTGACAGACGTAACTGTATTTTTTGAGACTGTGAAAAACATTCATAAAGTATGTGTTTTAAAAAAATAACACCACAGCTCTCCTTTTTTCGGAGCTGCAACAAAAAGTTATTTAATAAAGCAGCGACACAGTTCACTGAACCAACAGCAAGTTATAACATTGTAAGCATGTCTCCAGGAAGGAGCCATCTTGGAGTTGACGAATTACCGTAATGACCATACACAAGGCGCACTGGATTTTAAGGCGCGCTGTGAGCTCTTAAGAAAATGGAAGACTTTTTGGTGCGCCATATAGTGCAGAAAATACGGTATGTTATTTTAAGATAGATGAAAGACTTAGATAGATACTAGTTATTACGCGGATGCTTCACCGTCCTCATGTGCTCTCATTAATTTCTGAATGCAGCCTACGATCAACAGCTTGGTATTTATTTTTCAATTTGCATTTTCAAAGTTACATTTTTTTTAAGGGTAACAAGTGTTTAGAAGTGTGAGAACTGTGTGTGGAGTTGGTCATGGTGAATTAGAGGTGTGCCACCACAATAACTCCCCACAAAAAAAAAAAAAAAAAAAAACATCAACCTCTACTTGGCAGAAATTCACCTATGATGAAGTGTCATGGAACATATCATGCACGAAAAGTGACGGAACACTGCACCTGTACTGAATCTCAGGACATGACACTAAGCCCTCAGTCTGTTTGAAGCAGTTAAATCGTAAGCAGAAAATACGTGAACAAATATTTGCACATAATCTTACATAAGTGTACAAATATCATGCACATATGTACAGAATGTAAAATGCAAAAAATGTTTGGTTAAAAAAAAAAAAAAAAGAATAATTTTTGCATACACTATTACACATAACTGCAAGTTTATAGATGTATGACGACCAGTAGTACAGGAGGTCTTGCTTTATTGAACCATTTTAAAAACCCTGAAAAAGGACTGTTTCCACACTGCCTCTTTTGTGTACTGGCATTATTAGACTAATAGCTTTACATGTTTCGATGTTAAGCAGTCATTTTCTGTCATGTTTGTAAATAATACGGTGCATCGTGAATATTGTAATTAAGCTTGATTTGGAGAAAATTGTGAAGCGAATCGAAATCGCAATATCGGTCAGAAAAAAAAAAATCGCAATTCTGTGTTTTCCTAAAATCGTTCAGGCATATAGCATTCCACTTTTTGCCTCATAAAACTCGATTTCTTTCACTGTATGCTTCAGATAATTGTCCATCTGCACGGCGCAGCACCGTTCAATGAGTCCTGAAGCATTTGAGCAAATAAAATTCCCCAAAACACTTCAGAACCCCTTCACTCACAGTAGGTGGAGGCCATCATCTCCCTCTGTTGCCTTGATGTCTTCACTTGTCCTCTGACTCGCAGAAGCTCTCCAATCTCGAGGCGGAAGTGGGTCTGCTGGGCCTGTTTCAGCTTTTTCACCTCAACAGCTAGATTAAAGCTGTGCTGAAGGTCATCACTTGGTTTTCCCCCGTCTGGAGTTCAAAAAATTATTTGTGAGTTATATTTAGGATGACTTAAATATGAATTTCGCAATAATCAATTACTTCTGCTGGCAAAGAACAAGAGGCAGATGATACCCTGGATTGATCACCAACCATTCAAACTCACCTATAGGCATGCTGCTTTTAGGATTGTGGGAACAAGGTGCAATGACAACCTTGGCAAGTGTGGTGAAAACATGTCCAAATAAGTCCATATGCCCAGCATTAAACCAAAACCTATCTTTCTGTGGGAGAACAGTGTCAGCTAGCAATTGAACTGATATGTTGTGCAAAAAAATGCTGAAAAATAATTCATCAAAAGCATTCTAAAGCTGCACTAATTGTCTGGCTTGCACAGTGAATTTTCCCCTTTTCAGTAATGATAAAGTTAAAACAAATTTGATTCCAGTCAAAAACAAAGAGGGCTTGTCCTTGGTCAATGTTGAGGGGGAAAAAAAATCATTTTACGAGGGGTCACCAACTCTGGTCCTCGAGGGCCTCTATCTTGCATGTTTTAGATGTTTCCCTCCTCCAACCCACCTGATTCAAATGATCAGGATCCTTATCAGGAGATGAGCTGATCATTTGAATATCTAAAACATGCACAGGAGGGACCTTTGAGGACTGCAGTTGGTAACCCCTGTGTTGGACATTGCATTGAATGGCACTTCATATTGTACTTTTTATTTCGTTTGCTACTTGTTTTTCTCATCATTATAGCACATTAGAAACACAGTCTCACATTTACCAGAATCCAGCTCCTCTTTCATCGGGTCATTCTTCCAACACAAGCAGTTTATAACACCAGTGCCATCGTCTACTGTAAATAAAGAGGAGATGAGGGTGACAAAATAGTTTAAAAAATATTACTACGTTTAACAATATCACGGGAAACATACAATTTGTGACAGTAGATGCTGGGAAATAACACATTATTTTACTCCGAATCGGAATAGAGCAAAATTACCTCCATAACAGAAGAAGTCCTCTCTTTCCCTCTTATAAACGACTGTCCCAAGTACATCAACCTTGTGGATCGGATGTGACTTGTAGAAATAAATATCTGATCCAGAAAAAGGGCAGATTAGCGTCGGACTCTTAGCGTGATAGCTTTTAAGATTGACTCCATGTTGACCAAAGCAAGCTTCCTGGATAGTACAAGACATGCACACAACAATTTACCTGGCACTTGACAGGACTCTCTCATGTGGAGGATGTCTGTTACATGTAGCCTGGCGAATGCAGAAAATATCGGGTCCAATCCCCACAACATGGACGGGAGCTCTTCTGCAGGATCCATTGTACTCGGCTAATGCCGATAAATCATTTCGACAGGTACATCAGATGCGTTTCTCTGCGGTGCCCTTGCAAGGAAGCAAGCTAGCTGCGAGTGTAGCTATTTGTAAAAAAAAAAAAAAAAAAAAAAATCGGTCACGTGACATAGCTGTTATTTTAGTTTTATTTCTTTCTTGTATAGTGTTTGATGTTTAGTTAATGGCGCTAAGTATGCGATAATATGTATTACCGCACTTTGATAGGTGGACTGAATGATTATAGTTTAGTTTTTAAAATACAGTTAAAACAGCGCGCCGAAAAATATTGATGGTTCCTGGGACTTGTAGTTCAGTTTACACACAATAGCACAAAGGAAACAATGCCACATGCCGAACACGACGATGTCACTCAACTCTCTTCCAAGTACTGCTGTTCCTCCGTAGACAATCATTTCCCCTAAAACGTCCTGTTTCGTCGGTCTTCCTTTGTAGAAGAGGGCAGCAAACGACTTTTATCCGCGCAAACTCAGCGTGAAGTAAATGAAACACGACGTCGCGCGCACGCGGGGACGCGCATTGATTCTAAATCCGCTAGATTACCAAACCCATTTCTAGGGAGGCTGGATGTTTTAGCTAATGTTGAAGTACGCGTATCTGTAATATAAACCGATTTATGGTTAAGAGTTTTAACATTTTTAGTCTTCGGAACTACTTGGAAGGACATTCGCTTTACTTTTTTCAGATTTTGGTTGAGGAAAGAAACCTACGGAGCCATTGGTCGCCCAGAGTACGGACCAAATCAACGTACACCTTTGCAGAAACTGAATGGCCTTGTTCTGAATTTCTGACGCCAGGACGAGTCCAGGAAAGTCTATACCGTTTGTACGACCCAAATGACCCAAGATGTACAAAAGAGCACAGAGTTTTCTGGACTGGTTTGTCGAGTGTCAGAGGCTAAGCTAGGTTTTGGACTGTAATCAAAACTGCTGTGGGAATCAGACTTTACGACCCTTCTCCGCTGTATACTACATGGTGCAACAAAATTGATTCAAATTTCTATTCGTTCCAGCAATTTGAAAGTGAATTACCTATGCTTCAATATGTCATTCTTTAACTTGCGTAAAATATTTAAATTGGGGTCTGAGAAGAAGAAGAAACAATATGAGCATGTCCGAAGAGATGAAAACCCGGAGGAAATATGGACCATTATCGGTGAATTGGGAGATGGAGCCTTTGGAAAAGTGTTCAAGGTATGTAATGTCAAACTGTACTTTTTAAAATGTAGATGAGTTTGTGTAACTGCACCCAGGAGGCGACTCGCACCAAGTGCCAGCAGTGCCAGGTCAGATGGTTGATTTTTTTTTTTTTTTTTGGTTTTTGTTGTTGTTGTTTTTAAATTTTACTGAGACCCACCCACCATCCATAAAAGATACAGTACTTCCAACCTTGTGATCGAACTGTGTCAAATCTGATTGCCGAAGACCTTCTCATTCCACATGATTGGTTGAACTGTTCTCACACTGAGAAAAGCAGCAAATCAACCAAGGTTTCAAACATTGGATATGTTTTATCTTGTACATTATTTTTATCATGTATTATTAATTGGTTTTGGAATTTACATGGCCAATGTAGAAAGCTACAGTTGTATTGATGTCATAACTTGTGTGTTGCAAATCAATGACTGAGTCTAACATTTCCTTGAAAGTATTCAGTAGCTACTTAATTTTTTTTTCTTCATGTGGAGATAGCTAAAGAAGAAGATTTAACAAAGAAATCACTGAATCAGCAAGAATTTGAAATATATTTATCAATTGTGATTACATGCCAGCTACATACCAATTCTCAAGAGTCTGTTTTATTCCATAAGTAGAAGCATTGTGCATCTTTATGCAACAGTTTTTGTGGAAATCAAGAAAATGTGTTTGTCAAACCATCATTCCAATGTGTCACCAGAAATAGTCTTTCTTAGCCAAGATTTTTTTACCTTGTTCCATGTTGTGCCATTTCTACACTACAATATTGCACAATAGCTTTGCCTCAAGTGGCCCAACTTGCTTCATCCCAGACCAGCAGAAAGCATAGTACAGTATTATCATGACTGTAGTGAAACTGACTTTCGTGCAACCAGCATGGACTGAGTCCTGCTCCATGACTGTAAGTGTGAATGTGATTATGAATGGTTGTCTGTCTCTGTGTGCCTTGTGACTGATTGGAGTCAAATGCAGGGACTCCCTTTCACCTACAAGTCAGCTGGCTCTGGGATATGCTTCTACTCCCCCTCTATCCGAAACAGAATAAATGGTTGAAAATGGAAGAATGAATCAAAATACATGTTACTCTCCAGCAGGGTTGTCAACATTCTGCCCGTGTAGTTTTGTACCATCCCTGTGATCGCCTGTAATGCACACTTTGCTAAAGGGAAGCAAATTGCAATTTTTTCTTAAGAAATCTGAGGTTGTTCTTATGTATGTAAAAGGATAGTCCATTAAATGCAAAGATTTTCTGACTGTATGTGCAATGCTTAGTTACGAAGGAAAACACCCATTTTTTGTTTGCCGTTTAGTTAGGCTATTTATGACCCCCGAACTGCGATTAATTTGACACACCTGTGCTACAGTAATTCTCTATTGGGATTAGTTGCCGTTTGTGATCATAGTTATTACTTTATTGATAATATATTGCAAGGCAGGATCGCAAATCTGAAATGACCCACACCACATGGTAAATTGAACACAGTTAGGATTCCTAGTTTAAGAGACCACTGATATTTTATCCGTTTTCCAGAGGCAATCACTTAACCAGGGCAGGTCTCCAGGAAATGGCCGAATGGTATTCCATCTCACTATGGTAACTTAATTTAACTTATCCTGCTTGCAGAAGACTCAAGACAAATGGAATACATTTCCACAAGAACTTGTCTCGGGACTCGGGAGTTTCACTGATTTATTTACAACATGAGATTGCATTTGGATGAAATTATCTTGAAGTGTGTTGAACGTTGAATCAGTCTAAATAAAAACAGCAAGAACAATCAACACCTAGAGCAGAAATCTTCCATCAAAATTCAGAGGGCTCCCATTGCAAAGGATTTTTCAGGGCAAAGGTCCCGAACTCAAAAAGTTTTGATTTGTGTAGTGCCACTTGTGGCAGGTCCACCCCAACATGGTTCATGGTCCACCACCCAAGAAGGCTTAATAGAGGATCCCAACAGACACAAATGTGTCAGGACTTCATTTCAGTACAAATTTTCATGCCTGCAACTTCAGAAAAGAAATGCTCGCAAGCAATTACTGTGGTCTGTGCTGTCATTTTGATGAGTTATTTTTTGTGAGTCAACTTAAATTTGCTAACTTTGAAAAAGGCCATGCTGGCCGTGCCTTCTCCTGAAAAGCGTAAACAAAAGGTTTGATTGGCTCATTTAGGTCAGATAATCAGAACACTGCCGTGATGCTAAATACAGCCGCATACATGGTCTGTGATAGCGGCCTGTGAGAATAAAAACACTGTGTGGTACACATACTTCATCTTTATCCAATAACAATTGACCCTGGATCCACGGTCCGGAAATGGACCGTGGCCCACCATTTGAAGACACCCGTTCGAGCTCAGTACCAAAAGATGAATCGACAGTATTTTATCGAAATCTATAATATTGCATTTTCATAACCATCCATTTGCATTCTACAGGCTCAGAACAAACAAACAGGTGTCCTCGCTGCGGCCAAAGTGATCGACACAAAGACTGAGGAAGAGTTGGAGGACTACATGGTCGAGATTGACATCCTGGCCTCATGCGATCACCAAAATATTGTCAAGCTGCTTGATGCTTTCTATTTTGAGGGCAAACTCTGGGTAAGTAACTGCACGCTGAGCCCTAAAAGTGAATTCCAATTAGAAAGCAACACGTAAAACTAACATTTCCTGAATGGGTTTATAGTTGCTTTGCAAGATGTTAAAAAACATGTTTGTTAACCAGTGCACCTGTTGTCATGCTTGAGTGTTTTTTTTTTTTTTTCTTTTCAATACAGCAGTTCCCACTGCTTGGATATTGCAAGATGTGGTAAGGCATTCACAGCCTAAGTCAATCTCTTATATTGTGTGCCCTATGCTTATCAAAAGGCAGGGCCAAAGTTCACAGGATGAATTAAATAGCTTTTAGCTGTTAATCATCATACAGTTTTATTATGTCTGTCAATATTGATTTTTTTTTTTTTTTTTTTTTAACTAGGCCATATTTTACATTGCTACCCTCTGGTGTAAGTTAATATAATTATGGGGCAAATATCATGTGTGCTGATTTGTACTGCAACCAAACAACATCCAGTACAGGTATACCTTAAATCCAGGCTCACCAACCGTTTTTAAAACTGAGAGCTTCTTGGGCACTGATTAATGCAAAAGGCTAGCAGTATGACACACAAATTTGCTCAAATTACATGAATGAATAATATTAATTTATGTGAAGACAGTGATCATATTGATTTGTTGTATGTTTGCGTGTGTGTGTGTGGGACGCAATTAATGTCACCAATGTGGTTGGTGACATATATATATATATATATATATATATATATCTGAGAAGTACTTTTCATGTTTAACTGGTGATATTGAATGATTCTAACAGTCATAATACAGTTCGCTAGTCATTAACTTCAATGATTGGACACATATTTCTTTTTAGTGTACCTCAACTTGTATGGGATAGTTTCCTCTTTGTTGCCCTCTAAAGAATAGCCATCAAATTACTGACGTTGACTGTTGGTATTTATTTTGACTTGAATGACACCTGACCATGCAAAAACAAAGTTTGAAGACGTCTTAGAAGAATGCTTCTATTTATTTATCATGTACATGCACAAACATGAGATTTGAAGTCTTCATTTGATCTATCACAGGAGTGGATACGTTAAACACACACACACACACACACACACACACACACACACACACACACACACACACACACACACACACACACACACACACACACTCTTAGTGGCACACATTGGAGCAGGGTTTACTTCAGGGTTTACTGGTGTCGAGCTGAACGACATCGTAGCCATGTGTTTTGGGGATGTTCAAGGTGGATGATTCTTGCACCGGTGACTCACGATGGCAGGCGATCTTAACCATTTGGCTACGGCTGCGGCAACCGGATCCAATGTTGTGTCCCCAAGGTAGTTGGGGATAACCTGATATGATATGTATCTGCTCAGGCTTCACAGCTTCTGTCACACAGTGGCATTTTTGTGTTTATTGTATTGTTATCATTTTGCTCGATGTCACCTCCTTGGATACCTTGGATAGGAGGGTAAAGAGGATAAACATCTGGACGTTCGCTTATTTGGACACACAAGTTTAGGAGGAAACCACAGTCCCAGCCCATTGTTGATGCCATGACACTGTGGGACCTACAGTACAACAATTGAACCACTCAAACAACTGCTCGCCGAGAGAAAAACATACAATGGTGTGCATGTTGAATAGCCAAGATTGTTTTGAGTCTTGAGTCATTGTGACTGTTGTATGGGCTTTGTTACTATAAGTGGATCAGTCTTAAAAAGCTCCTCTCGTGCATGGAATGCCAATAAAACCTCAGTGAAATGTTTGGACCTGTCTATTCTTACAGGGGCTAAAACTATTGATTTTGAATACAGAGTAGTTAAACTAAAACTAAAACTCGGTCCTCAGTGGACACATCAAACAAAACATTTTTTTCCTCAGTGGTGAAACCAAAGCATAGCCTTTTTTCACATCATAAGAATAAGAAAACCTTTATTTGTCTCACAATGGAGAAATTCCCAATTTACAGCAGCAAAGTTATGAAAGGAAGAAAGTAGAAGAACAAAAAGTGTAGGAGCTGCTGTAAAGGCAGCCACTCTCGCGGCGCCATCTTGAAGTCAAAATAACATAACAAAATAATACAACACAACACGAGACACAGATAGTCATTCAATCTGAACCACTTTTCTGCCTAATCTTTGTTTGAAGCAGTTATAGATGAAAGAGGAGAGTGATGTGTGTAAAGTTTTTCCAATATTTCATGTGCAAAGTAATAAATTTGCATGTGGAGGTTAGAATAGAAGTATGCAGAAAGACTAGCCTTGTTTATGCTCAATCGAAAATATGCTCCGGAATCTCCACCTCACCACATTCCCACTACTTTAGGCCCTGTATCCATAGAAACTGTAATCCGATTTGCAGCAGAAGGCCAAAGGCCTATCATAAGAGGTCTAGCTAGTAGCTGCGTGAAACTCTTTCCACAATGTTGCAGCAACGGGACCAATCCTCTTACGGCCACAGCCCTATTGAAACATTCAAAATGGCTTTTAAGAGCTCAGAGTCCTTCATTATTTCGTCTTCATGTAGGCAAAATTTATGCTGAGATTCTCCCAGACAAGCCGATAGTTTACATTATGGTTAATTACATTCAGCGTTCCCTCCACCTGTGTTGCAATGTGCCCCTGCTATGAGAATCATCCAGTGCCATACATCAGAACTGGAAGAGCTCTTGGTTCATCTTGCAGGATCTGCTCACTGAGGGATTTATAACATGAATGTTCAACTTCATATTGCTTGTCTAAATGTTTGAACATCTCAGCCTTAGTTTATGATAATGATAAGTCATCGATGAGTCTCTAAAAAAAAATTGTCTTTTTTTTTCCCCCCTCACCGATGCTCATAGATTCTCATTGAGTTTTGTGCAGGCGGGGCTGTAGATGCTGTCATGTTAGGTGAGTCCACTTGTCCCACTCACCAGCATGCATTACACCCTTTATTTGTCTCTAAATGTTGCTATCTGTATTTGTGTGCGGGTGTGTGTTTCACTCTCGCAGAACTGGAGAGACCCCTGACAGAACCACAGATTAAGGTGGTGTGCCGGCAGACTCTTCAGGCCCTCGTCTACCTCCATGACATTAAAATCATCCACAGAGACCTGAAGGCTGGCAACATCCTACTCACTCTAGATGGTGATGTTAAATTGGGTACGGAGCAGTAAAAACTTGTCATGTTATCAAGGAGCGTGGTTTCATTCATCGTTTTTGCAAAACACACTGAGAGAATGATGCATGTAAAATTTCAATAATTCTATTTTGTAGTTATGCGTTCTTTTTCCAGGTAAAAATTCTGAATCGATACTTCAGTAGTCTAGCAATGTAGACAACTGCTTGTTTTATGGGCACTTGGCAGTAATCTCCAGGTATTTTTCAGTGTATGAGATTAAAATTCTGGAAATAGCACAATAATGCACACATTCTGCATTCTACTGAGTGACCTATGCTTCTTATCTTTTATGAGGATTATGTGTTCACATGACTCGTCCTGGGTCATTTTACTATTCCGGTCTTTTTACTAGTTGTATGCGTGACCAAAGTCACTATTCTTCTCATAAAGATGGTTCCCAGTTATTTGTAGCCATTATTCCTACCGTTTTATAAATACTGTAATGAAATGTAAGAATACGAATTGTTAATTTGAATAAAATGGAATAGTCAGATGAGATGCTGCCTTTTCAAAATAGAACGTTTCAGAAACTTCCACGGAAATACAAACCAACTCTTTTGTTGGAGGCACCCTAATAGTTGGTGGCAGTTCAATCAACTCATCATAATCTCTAGAATCGGGTTTCCTAGGGCTAGCTACAAAAAGATCTGACAACTCACTCAGCAAGTGTATTTTCCTTGGACCAATACAAACTTGACCAATGAACTCAGTTATGCAAACAAAAAATGATGTTTTTGTCATGATATTGTCAAATGTATGACTGCATTTTGATTTGTGTGATTAATTTAGCTTTCCTGTGGCTAAGATCAGTTTTGATTGATTGATTGATTTTTAATTACATGTATTCCAGCTGACTTTGGTGTTTCTGCTAGAAACACCAAAACTCTTCAAAGGAGAGACTCATTCATTGGGACACCATATTGGTGAGTGTAAAAGAAGAAAATCTATCCATGTATCTTTTTTTTTTTGATAGTTCTGCAACATTCTGAGTCGCAAAAATCCTCTTATGTGTTACTCCCCTTTTTTTTTTTCACAACTTCTTTCTCAATGTTACTCGTTCCATTGCAGGATGGCCCCTGAAGTAGTCATGTGTGAGACATCCAAGGACCGTCCATACGACTACAAAGCCGATATCTGGTCACTCGGGGTCACCCTGATTGAGCTTGCACAGATTGAGCCACCCAATCATGAGATGAACCCCATGAGAGTCCTTCTGAAAATTGCCAAGTCGGACCCTCCTACGCTGATGCAGCCATCACGTTGGTGAGTCACAGCATAAAACCCTCGTGTTCATAAATTCTGTCAGTTGATTAATCATAATGATTCAATTATTCGAAATAGTGGTTAGTGCGTCGACCTCACAGTGCAGAGGTTATGGGTTCGATCCCGGCTCCGGCCTTCCTGTGTGGAGTTTGCTTGTTCTCCCCGGGCTTGCGTGGGTTTTCTCAGGGTACTTCGGTTTCCTCCCACATTCCAAAAACATGCATGGCAGGCTGATTGAACATTCAAAATTGTCCCTAGGTGTGAGTGTGAGCGCGGATGGTTGTTTGTCTCAGTGTGCCCTGCGATTGGCTGGCAAATGGTTCAGGGTGTCACTCGCCTACCACCCGAGGACAGCTGGGATAGGCTCCAGCACCCCCGCGACCCTTGTGAGGATAAAGCGGATCGGAAAATGGATGGATGGATGGAAGCTAAGGACTGTTTTGGGGTTTTTTTTCTACACGTTAAGCTTGTTCTACACAGTATGATTTTAAAGCTATTTGTAAGTTGAATTCAATTCTCATGCATCTATCTGTATGATGGAAGTTAGTAAATTCTTAGTTTGGTCAATATTTACGTCATCCCTTTTTCACCTCCCGAGACCCAACTATTTCGATACAAAGTCATTTTTTGTAAAAATAGATCCAATGTAAATGAACAGATCAAGATGCTTAAGTTACTTGGGGCCTGATTAAATGTTTTCAAGGGCAAAAATGGGTGCAAATTAGTTTCCATATGCAAACCAATGCAGAAGCTGAGCTACTAATGCAGTGCAACCAGCATTGTTTCTGCCAAACACAGTAAATGAACATGCTGATTGATGTTCATTTTGCGTGTTGAAAGGAGTATGTGCAAACAGATGAATTCACCACGTGCCATGTGATTTATCAAACCTGCGATGCATTGCGATGGCTGATTTTGCGTGTTTAAATAGCACATCTGAAATGCAGGCATAAATGACACGCCCGCTTGGCCATCACTGGCTGCAGATGATCACATTACATTGCTTGTCCAATCGATGCTGTGGGAAATTTAGTTCGCTCAGTAGTCTCAGTGTGACTGTTGTGACTACATCATGCAATAAAAAAAAAAAACTATACTTAGGCCATGTAAGTTTATTTACTTTTTTCTGTTTTTAATAAATGTGTTTTCTTAATGTCTTGAATTTGTAAAAAAAATCTAATATTTATTTTTCACTAATGAAGGGTTCGGTGAACGTGCATATGAACTGGTTGGGTTCGGTACCTCTAACAAGGTTAAGAACCACTGTTCTAGTTGTTGTACTAAACTGGTTGCACTACTACAGAATTTGAGCTGTGATGTTTCTGGATGGAGAGTATGCTCGAAGCTTTTTTTTCCCCCCTTCATTTGTTTTCGATGCTCAACTACAGCTGCGAGGAATTACTCGGCTTCAAATATTCCTGTCCATTCTGCCCATTCCTGGATTCAATATCGAGAGTGAGTGAGAGAAAGGATTGAGAAGGACAAGAGATTTAAACCGTTCCTTCCTTTTATCTTAATGGTTGTAAGGCTGCTCATGAACAAATATGTCAAACAAACAGCTGGCAAGTAGGGATTGTAAACTCTCCTGCCACTGAGACTTGGCTGCTTCCACACACATGACATGGATATATCCCTCAATTCATTGTTCCCTTGCGTTTTTCGGCTCCCCTGAGAGACTTCGGCACAGATGCTCCTGCCTGCCTCGGCTTTCTCACCGTTGGGTGAACCTGCATTTCCTGAGGCAATACCTTAGTTTTATTATTTTATGTTTTATGTTCGATTCTATTTATGTGCTGCACTTGATTTCAGCTGTGGATCTTCTTTTTCTTTTTTTTTTTTTTTTTTTTAAGTGTTCTGTAAACAAAATTGAGTTAGTCTTCTCCCAAATGTTCCATGGTGAAAACTAGCAGTACAACATAAAGCATTGAGCCCTCTTTTAAAATCACAACTTGTTAGTTAGTGAATATGCAATTGAACACCTGCTGTTTGCGGTCACAGTAAAAAAAAAAAAAAAAAAAATGGCCGTCTTTGTAAATAACACGGAAGACTCCCACGAACAATGTGCACCTTCTGTTGGAGGGAACATGCAATTTAGCACCCGCGCATTGGGGATATCACAAAAACAGGCCTTTGGTGTTATACTGTGATTGTTACTGGATTTCCATCTTTTTTTTTTCCAGTTGAACTTTTAAGGACACTAATAATTGTCTATTTTATCTGAACCCTTTCAGGTCCCCAGAATTCAATGATTTCCTAAAGCGATGTCTGGATAAAAATGTGGACAACCGGTGGAGTGCAGCACAACTTTTGCAGGTGCCCCTATAATGAACGCTCTGAGAACTTGCTTCCTTTCCTCCCAGTTAAAACTTTCTCAGAAAATGCATTGACAATCCTTGCACATGAACACTAATTCCATTCTTTTTTCATATTTCAATATTTGTGGACACCAAGAAAAAAAACACATTTTAAAACACATTTCTTTTTATTAGGTATTTTTGAGTTATGAGTTGTAGGGGGAGAATACCAATGTGTGTTTTTCTTGTTTTCCAAAAACACTGAAAGATGACTGAGGCAATTATGGTGTATGGCCGACAACATGCAATTCAACTATAAGCAAAGAGTCCGAGGGGCCGTCTGTTTACCTGCCTATGTTCAGGTCCGGTCCAGGAAAGTCAGCTGGAAAGTCACTTCTTCCTTTGTGTTTGAGCAGACATCAGCAGAAAGTGCTTTTCTTTTTCCATTGGTTGACAATATTTGCCAGGTTATGGCTACTGTCCATGCTTACAGAGAGATGCGAGCCAATCAGGAAACATTTATGTACACTGACACAAGGCAGACTTTTACCGTGCTGGCACTTATGAGGAAGGCTCGAGGGCTTTTAAAATACAGAATCTGTCTCATCGAAGGATTTGATTGTGGAGCTCTGTATACTTGTTAACAATGCATTTGTGAGCGCTAAAAGGAAAAGCTGGCAAGACATTTACACTCTAGTTTGTACTCTTATTTTGTAGTTTGGAATCGTATGGTGTTAGTTGTGGCAAAAATTACACGTGTTAGGTTAGCGCAGGGTGAAATCAGAATTAAGACAAGAATAACGGCAAAAAATTGTGGCAAAGATTCTGTATTATTATACTTTGATTTGACAGTGGACTCCCAGCAATGCACAAAGTAGTCCGTGATAAACCAAGTACTGTAATACGTCTCCAGTTTTAAAAAGCACTGACAAAATTTTGCTTTTGCAAAGAAAAGCTCTATTTTGATTGACACTGTCAAACATATAATGATATGTTTAATACAATGGAGTGCAGCACCGCGCCATACTGACTGGTTTCAAGAATTATACCCCTGTCCTGCAGCTAACTTTAATCAACCAAGCAAACTGTTCACAACACTTTACAGTACATACAATGCCGGTCTACAGCATTGCAACTACTGTACAATCATACCTATATTGTTCAATTTAAAAATAAACATCTGCATGACAGAGTATAGGAGATGGCTTTGCCAATGCGTTTTTTCTTTTAATTTGTTTGTTGTTTTTCTCTGTCTTGTCTGCAGCATTCATTTGTGTCCAGTGTGACAGACAGTAAGCCTCTGAGGGAAATAATAGCTGAAGCTAAAGCTGAGGTAACTGAGGAGATTGAAGAGCACAAAGAGGAAGAGGAAGAGGAAGAAATTGAACCGAATATGGTATGAAAACTGCAATCATTTTTGTTGAGTTGTTTTGCACAATTATGAGCTGAACGGCGTGCATTTGCAGTGTACCAATTGCCAATCTGCTCCAAAGGCATTTTGTGCTACTGCATGATCAATAAACCAGAATATTTCATGTCTAGTGGCTCCTAAAATAAGCGATAGTTGCCGCTCACTTAAACGCTGTGAAAACAATCTGTCTGTCAATCTACCTCCGCTGCAGGGCCATAAACGTGCTCCCTCTGATGTCAGTGTTGCAAGCTCTGAGGATGAGAAGATTCCACTCTCCCCTACCATTTTGGAATCTGTCCCTGAAAAGGGTGAACCACGATCGCCCATTGCTGCACCCAATGAGATCCCTGTAGCGAACCACGTCATTAGCTTGGTGGAAGAGTCCACTCTCTCAACAGCTGCAGAGCATGCAGAAAAAGCTCTAGTTAATGTTGGCGGAAAGCAACTGGTGCCGGAGGAGGTCGAATCTGGCAGGGCCTTGTCAATCCCACCGGCAAACGAAATGGAGCAGCTTGCGATAGCTTCTGAAAACGAAAAGGAAGATGACACAGCCGAAGTGCCAGCCAATTTGGATGCTCCGACAGAGATTCCAAAAGATGCAGCTTCTCCAGAAAAAAGAATGGTTACTGTAGAGGAATCAATCACACCAGCAGAAGAGGACCCATACAAACATGTTAAGGTGTCTTTACCAAGTCCGGATGACTCTTTTTCAAAAGAGCAAGACAATGAGAAGCCTGCAGTAAAACCGAATACAGAAGATGAGAAGATTCTTCCAGACAAGGCTAAAGATGACAGTTCAGACTCTGGTAGGAGCTCAACTGCGGATAATAGCAGCCTTGAGCTGAATCTGTCTATCTCAAGCTTCCTGTCCAAAACAAAACAGCCTGGATCAGTTTCCATCCAGGTACCACACAGCACTTATATGCACAAAGGTTATTTGTAAGACTCTTGAATGATCAAACTTGTGTCAAAAAGTTGCCAACTGATGAATGAAGTCACAATGTTTCCTGTCATGATTTCCCAGGAGACAAAGCGCCAGAAGAAGACATTGAAAAAGACCCGCAAATTCATTGTGGATGGGGTGGAAGTTAGTGTGACTACATCAAAGATCATAACCGACAATGACACAAAGAATGAGGAAATGAGATTCCTGAGGTATAAACCTGCCTTCAGCTATTATTCACATACTGTAGAAGTAAAATGTGCTTCACAGAAAGCAAAGCCTTCCCTACTGAACCAAACAATAGTAAAATCTTCTCTTACTCACTTCTCCCCTATCTTCCTCCACTTTGCCAGGCGCCAGGAACTAAGGGAGTTGCGTCTCCTGCAGAAGGAGGAGCAGAGGGCCCAGCAGCAACTCAGCAATAAGCTACACCAGCAGAAAGAGCAGATTTATCGCCGCTTTGAGCAGGAGACCACGGTGAGTTACTACAGTATTCCCCTGCTGTATTGCCATTCATCTTTCACATGCTCGCTATACCACCCATTTAACTATTTTTAACGATCGTATTTTCCGCACTATAAGGCGTACCTTCGATGAATGGCCTATTTTAAAACTGTTTTCATATATAGAGTGTGCTGCATTGTATGGCGCATAAAATAGAAGCTTTAATAGTGGCTGTGGTTGCGTTACGGATCCACTAGATGGAGCTACGCTAAAGGGAATACAATACAATACAGCTTTATTTATATAGAGCCCTGGCTACAGTTGTGTTTTGCATCCACTACATGGAGCTACGCAAAAGTGAATACTATACAATACAGCCTTATTTATACAGAGCCTTCACAACTGCTTCAGCTGTAACAAAGCGCTTTACAGAACCTTTCAAATACTACGTCCAAGAAATCAGAATATTCATCCATATGTAGCTCCCCAGGATGTCGCATAAAGCACGACACGAAGTCTATAAAAATACTGGGTTATTCCTTGACGTAAATACAAATGGCATTACAAAACAATAAATGAAAAACAAAAGTGATGAAGACAGTTGATTCAACAAAACGTACACAAACCTCATCGGCTCACATAGACAAGGGGCGAAATATCCTTAGAAGTCGCGCTTGTCGCCTTTTTCCTTAGTTTTGTCTTAACCATGCTTTTGGCAATTGTTTTTTTTTTTTTTGGGACCACAAATTGGTACCAGCTTCAAAAAATCCATAATAAAGATGAATGAATTGTTTGTTTGTTAAAAAATTAATTGAAAAGAGTCTTGGGGAAAAAAAGAATCACATATTACATCGCAATCGCAAATTTTAAGAAAAAAATTTCCACAATTGCTCAGCTTTAATTTAAATAACGGTTAACTTGATTGAAATTAAAATAACAAGATCATTTTAAGAGATAAAAAACTTGTTTTTATTCAAAACACACTCACCAATGCACCGAACTGTCTCCCCAAACCCGAGGTACGGACCGTACTGTGGTTGACCTGTACCATGCCACCCCGAGCATACACTATACCCGCTGTATTTTGCATGCTTCCTTCATTTGATTCGATTTTTTTTTTTCCTTTTGTCTTGTGTGCTTCCAGAGTAAAAAGCGTCAGTATGACCAGGAGGTAGAGAACCTAGAGCGGCAGCAGAAGCAGACCATAGAGAGGTTGGAACAGGAACACACCAACCGACTGAGGGATGAGGCCAAACGCATCAAATCTGAGCAGGACAAAGAGTTGTCCAAGTATCAGAGCGTGCTGAAAAACCGGAAAAAGGAGGTCAGTGTCTTGTCTAGGTTACTCTGCTGCAGTTCTTGTGTGTCGTTTTTATTGCACATATCCACGCCATGATTTGGAGGTGTTAAGTCTACGCCATCACTTGGTATCCTGTTTAGATCACAATTATTCAAATATTGAAAGTTCAATATAAAATTTAAAAAATAAATGAATTGTTAACCTGGGAATTACATCAGACAGTGGCAAAAGACAAGAAGGTCATGAATCCAGCCCTCCATTTTCTCTTTGCGTCTACAGTTGTTTTTTTTTAATGTGGGTGGAACCCGCAGGACTCGGTGTCAAGCCATGATTCTTCTAATTCATTATATTAATCTAGAGAATTCTAATGTGTTACACATTTTTAACACGATGCATTGATGTCACTGGAACAATTTTATGTCTTGAGATATGAGCAAAATATGAAATGCGCTTCAGGCCCTCACCGCTAGATAGCCACAGCACACTTCAGAAAGTCCTGCCACCTTTAATTAGCTTTGGGTTTCTTCTGGTGGAAGGACAATATTAGTTTGTGGCAGTAATGTGCCATGATGCTCGTGTGCCAACTGCCTTGTAACCCCACAAAAGTAAAAGGAAGAACACAACTCAAGGTACAATCATGTTCTGTGTTCCCAGGTTATCTGGAGAGCAAATTTTCTAACTCTCTGCATTTATATAGTACCATACAATACAATGCATATGTCTTATGTTGGGGAACATGGGGAACGGCTGGAATGGATACATTGAATACCATGTTCTTTCGATGATGAAAAGTACAATATATAGAAAATGTTTTCCCTGTGCCATGGGCTGTTTGTTCTCTGTATGACCCTTATCTATGGTCACGAGCCCCCCCCCCCCCGACCCCCACCCCGGAGCCAGACGTGGAAATGGGACACAACGGCAAAATGTCTAGTGGCCTGGCATCCACCCATGGGGGCCAGCCGGGCAAAACCTCAATATGTGACGTGGGTCCCCTTTCCCATGGGCTCACCACCTATGGGAGGGGCCAAAGGGGTCAGGTGCAGTGTGAGCTGGGCGGTGGACCGGGTCATACTTCAAAGACCTCCTCAATTCCTCTGACACGCCTTTCCATTAGGAACCCCTGGGAACTCTTGGGTTGAGGTCACCAAGATTGTTAACAAGCTTCTTGGTGGCATAGCCCCCGGGATTGATGAGATCCCACCCGGAATTCCTTAAGGCCCTGCAAGTTGTGTGACTGACCTGCATGCCTGTGTAACATTACATGGACATTGAGGACAGTACTTTTGGATTGGCAGACCGGGGTGGGGTGGTTGTTCCCATTTTTTTAAGAAAGGGGACTGCAGTGTGTGTTTCAACTACAGGGGGTTCACATTCCTCAGCCTCCCTGGTAAGGTCTATTCAGGGGTGCCGGAGAGGAGGGTCTGCCGACATGTAGAATCTCAGATTAAGGAAGAGCAGTGTTTTTGTCCTGGCCGTGGAACAGTTGGACTAGTTCTACACGTTTAGCTGGGTCTTCAAGGGTGCATGGGATTTCACTCTGATCAATCTACATGTGTTTTGTGGACTTGGAGAAGGGCTTCGACCGTGTCCCCCTGAGAGTTGTCGGAGGTACTTTGGGAGTATTGGATACCGAACCCCCTAATATGGGCTGTTCGTTCTCTGTATGACCCTCATCTATGGTCACGAGCTGTGGGTCATTTCACAGAACAAGATCCCGGATACAAGCTACTAAAATGAGTTTCCCCCAAGGGGTGTCTGGGCTCTCCCTTACAGATAGGGTGAGAAATTCAATCTACCGGCAGTGACTCAGAGTTGAGTTGCAGCTCCTCCACACTGAGAGGAGCCACATGAGGTGGCTCGGGCATCTGATGAGATGCCTCTCTGTTGAGGTGTTCTGGACATGTTCCACCAGGAGGAGGCCCTGGGGATGACTGAGGACACGCTGGAGACACTCTATCTCCCGGCTGGCCTATTCCCCCGGAATAGCTGGAAGAAGTGGCTGTGGAAAGGGAAGTCTGGGCTTCCCTGCTGTCCCTGCGACCTGACCCCGGATAAGCAGAAGTAAATAGATAAATGGATGGGTTATATTAATGGGGAGAGATGATTTGAGATGTGCTTGGCCATGGAATGAATTAAACTTGTATCTCCAGGCACCATTGTACCTCACTTGAGAAAAGGTATGCATGTATAACTTTTTGTCAAAATGGAAAAGAAATTATGTATCGGCATCTACTTTATTCATCTCAGAACATTGAGAAACACATATTTGAGTCGTCTTCCCCCTTTTTGTTTAATTTCCATCGACTGCTCATCTACGTTCTCCAAAGCATGTGAGAAATGCCATTTTGAAGCGAATTAAAGTAGATATTTTTCAAGCACTCCCACAGGAGATCATGAGCATCCAATTTGTGATTAACTTTCATCACGATATCACCTCAAATCTTACGTAAACTGTTTGTTTGCAAAGTATAATATTGATGATACCGCTGCAACAGCGCACCCCCCACACCCCAATTCCACACACACACATATATGCACGCACGCACGCATTTGCTCTGTTGGGCACAGTGTGGTCTGGGCAAAGTGTAGGAGTGTAATATACAGTACTTTGATCCACAGGGCGTGGCCCCTGTCATGATTTAGTCCTGTCCCTTGTACTCCCGTGCCCTGGGTACCGCTCCTGTACAAGATGGAAGTGAACTCACTTGTGTACATTTTGTTTTGAATGCATCCTCGTTCGAAGTGAGAATATATTCCAATGTGGCTTTGATAGGCTTGTTACCATGTGCATGCACAGAATTCCAAGCTTAATCTCAGTTTTCAATTTGAACGTAGTTGAATTCCAGGGAAGGTTCTTCGGGAGGCTGTCAGTCAACAAAAGTTGTCAAAGTGTCACAAAAATGTAGTTATTGTGTATTACAGTATTCCTGTAGGAACCAGAGTACAGTGCAAGCAGGTTATTGTTGAAAATCAGTTGCATTCGCTCAAATTGTCCTGTTTACTTCCATCTTTGTGTGTGTGTGTGTGTGTGTGTGTGTGTGTGTGTGTGTGTGTGTGTGTGTGTGTGTGTGTGTGTAAATACACATTGTATTTGACAGAATGATCTGTCTCATTCGAATCTCGGTTTACTTTCACATTTCCGTTCCTTTTTCACCTTTCACGTGTATCTTTTTAATAATCATTGGCATTTTCAACTCAAGGGTTACATTAGGCGCATGGCAGCATAATGAACAATATTTAGTTCATTTTATACCTTCACATAGGAGCAAGAGTTTCTTCAGAAGCAGCAACAGGATCTTGACAGCGCTCTGAAGAAAATTATCCAGCAGCACAAACATGAGCTGGCCACCATCGAGAGAGACTGCCTCAACCACAAGCAGCAGCTTCTAAGAGGTAATGAGAAGTGTCACTTCTGTCTGATTGTGTGGTTTTCATGCCAGATCCAAGGAGAAGGAAGATCGTGATTTTTTTTTTTTCCCGTAGTTGCTCCATGCCAACATCCAGGAAAAGATGACAGAAATTCATTGTCTAACTACGGGTGTCATTGTTTCTAAATTAAGAAACAAAATCCATCAACACATTGTTTTCCATCAGAATTACATTTCAACAAATGAGCTCAAAATAGAGAACCAAACTTGGAGAAGCTCCTCTCCAGCATTCACTGTGATTTCTGGCATTTTCTGTGACATTTTCTTCAAGTTAGATAAGCAGTAATCCCTCTCTCAGTGGAGGAGGACCACAGTACTCTGACCACATTCTTGCTAACCGGGTGCCACCCCTCCTTTGCTCTTCAATTTTGTGAACAGCATCTTGTTATTACATATTAAGCACGCATGGGACTTGGTATGGCCCAGTGGTCCAGTGGTTAGCGCGTCGACCTCACACTGCAGAGGTTCAATTCCAGCTGCGGCCTCCCTGCGTGGAGTTTGCATGTTCTCCCCGAGCCTGCGTGGGTTTTCTCCGGGTACTCCGGTTTCCTCCCACGTTCCAAAAACATGCA